TAAATTAAATTTGATTACAAATATATAACAAGACTAAAAATGTGTAGGCAACCCATTATACACAATTATTAATTTTTTTTTGTAATATTTTTATTAAATGAAATTTTATAAAATAGTACGTAATAATTATAGTTGTTACGTTTTATGTAAACTGCGTTTTTTTAACGTGTTTGTAATTATTTAAAATAATAAAAAAATACCAGGTAGGCAACTCAAAATACACGTCTGTATTACAAACAAAAAATGTCCTGGTTTCCCTTCAATGGGAATAAATCTTTCTAAATCCTTGTCCTTAATTGGTTAAAAAATTAATTAAAAAAAGTATTAATTATTTATTCTTTTAAACATTTTCTGTGCTTATGATAAACCAAGAAAGTATTATTTTTTTTTTAGGGTAGGCAACACAAAATACAGTCAATGTATTAATTTTTATTAATTATTTATTTACATTATAGAGCAACTCTTTCGCCTATATCCTCGGGCTCCTGGGGCTCCTCCACGTACCCCCTATAATCGACCTTGAACATCTCCCTACTAGGGGGGCTCACTATCAGACACCTCGAGATGAAATCCCCTTGTCTTTTGGGCCTCATCGTGTACACATCCTTGACCAGGGCCCCAAAATTCCCCTCCAAGTGTCTCAAATCCATATCCAAAGTCCCAATAACAGTCTCAATCAGCCCGAAATCCTTCTCATGTTCGTCCTTTTTCGCCGTGTAACTAATCCCATTGACAAACCGCGAGACTACGCCCCCCAAATCGACGTCAAGCGTCCCCATTTTGGGGTTGGGAAAGCGCCGTTTCATGAGCCCCCTTAAAGCCACCAATTCGGGCAAAATATCGGGATGTGCGATGATGTATTTGAAGTTTTGGAGAGAGACAGCCCCATTTTGGATCTGTTTGATCAGGTCGACGCCTCCGGCGAGTTGGGCCCCCGCGTCGAGGGCCTCCTTGAGCGCCGGGGGCGTCTTCGCGAAGGCTATAATCGAGCGCTCCTCCCCGTGGTCGAACTTGAACGGAATTGAGACAATCCTGGTGAAGTCCTCCACGAAACGGGTGGCTTTCTCCCCCTGCATGTTGAGCTCGATGCGCACCCCGAGACAAGCCCCTGGCTCGTTGTACATGTCCGGGTGGTGGGTCTCCCGGTGGTTGGTGACAGCCCCCTCGAAAGACATTGCGAGTCTTTGGTAGAACTTGACCTGGTAGACGTCGTCACTGGGGGGCAAATGCTTCCAAGAATCGTCATATTTTAGTTTGGGGCGCAGGGCTAGCAACCTTAAATTTGATTGTCAAAAGTGAGGTTATGTCAATTTTTTTTGGTAATACTTTTCTTTGTCTCGTTGGTTATGGGGGATGAATTTGGGGGTCTCAATGACCTCTTTTTTGACCGTTTTTTTAGCTTTTCGCTCACGGGTGCCTTTCCGGGCCGCATAATTACGTATTTGGATGTGTGTTGGTTCAATATAGCGAAGGTTTGAGGTTAGGAAACCTGAAACGGTCAGATTTGAGACTTGTTGGGGCTTAAAATACAGTTGAGGGGCTTACGAGATGCTAGAAAAGACATTTTTGGGTTTTTGTGCGCGAAAAAACTACAGAACGAAAAAACTTGATAACTTTTTCTTTATTTGTTTAGGGGATTTTTTATTAGTGTGTTTAATGTGAACGGTGTAGAGTAAGTTGCCAACACAAAAAAAAATAAATTCACCATATTCGAGTAGAAGTGTGCGAGAACTCGAGAACGACTTATTTTTTAATTAAGCTTTTGACTCTATCACAAATTTTCTTGATAACTATTTATCGTAGAATACTGATTTTTTTTTTATATGATAGAAAATTAAATTTGCTTTCCAACGGTACCAAACATAAGAGGTTATTACCAATAAGTCCGGAGTTATTGGCAATAGACCGCTCCGGGTGCCAAAAATCGACCAAAATTTCGACGAAAATCAAAAAAATTTTTAACCTTAAAATTCATCCATATAACGTTTTTTACATTTATAGAGGTCTTAAACACTCAAAAAAATGCATAAAACGTTATTGGGTCAAGTTTAAAAAATTAYGAATTTTTTGAGTTTTTCAAGGTGAGCGGTAGTAAAATCGTAAAAATAGTCAATTTTCTAAAAGTCGTAAAAACACTTGAAATATGGTTTTCTAGACGTAAAATTACGCGCTGAACACGATGAAATTAACACCTGCTAGCAGTTTTTGGTCGTGCCAAAATTTCATCAATTTCGCAATTTTTAGAACCATCAAAGTTGTTTTAAGCCTATAATATTAATTGACAAGACTCAGAAAAATCACGAGAATCAAATAGTAAAAAGGCGACGATCAAAAAAAATTGTTCTGACATAAATTAATTCAATAACTCGGTTCTTAGTTCTCCAAAAAATCTCAAATTATGGAATTTTTTTCTTCATTCATAACCCTACTATGTGACGTAAAATAAATTGCATTGCATGAAAAACATTTTAGGGGTGGGTTTTTCAAACTAAAAATAACCCTATCATGTCACCCCTCATACATCTCAGTTTAAAACATAGATTTTAAAAATATAAAATGAGGTAGCTATTTTGTTTTTCCTAAGCGAGATACGAAAATGACCATCGCCAAAATCAAATTTGACTAAACCATTCGATAGACGATTTAATTACGCATCTTTTTTGACATAGTCAATTTTTACGTGCGACGCACACTTTTCGAGATATTCAAATTTGAAATTTCGAATTTGAATTTGAGCGCTTCATTGCACTTTCTTAAGGTTGGTAATAGTCGGCATACATACACACGCGTGTATATAAAGTTGCATAAGTTTGGGGGTTTATAATCCCGTTTATGGCAATTTTAACGAAATTTATCTTGTTTTCTAACCAGATTTTTGATAAGAAAATAAATAAGATGATTAATTTTTGTTCTAGGAATTTGCTTTCTCCAAACAAAACTTTCCAAACCCCGAGCAATTAGCACCCATTAGAACCCATTAAACGACCCATGATGGAAATGAGACTTGAAATTGGTTCCTGGAACGTCTGAAGCCCCCACAAAGGGCCTTCTAAAAATAGAATTCCGCCTAATTTCCCCCAAAATCTCTTCAAATCCCCTCTTCTCTTCAATTTTGCACTCGTCCCGAGCCCACCCGACCCATCACCAGTCTATCGTAGTCGGCCGAGAGAACACCATGTCCGATGTCGCGTCGCAAACGCTTCCTCAAACTCCTCTTCGGCCTCCTCCTCGGTGTTTTGGTCTCTCAGTTCACCTACCGCGAGCCGGTGTGCGACCTCGCTGAAGACGGCGTCCAGGACCCGGTGCCGGGCCACGGGCTCGTCCTCGTGGGGGTGATGACGGCGGCCAAGTACCTGGACACGCGCGCGCGCGCCGTCTACGACACCTGGGGCCGCCGCGTCCCCGGCAAAATCCTCTTCTTCTCCTCGGAGGGCTCCGCCAGCCGGCACGTCCCGCTGGTGCCGCTCCCCCACGTCGACGACGCCTACCCGCCCCAGAGGAAGTCCTTCCACATGCTCAAGTACCTCCACGACCACTTCATCGACGACTTCGAGTGGTTCATCCGCGCCGACGACGACGTCTTCGTCAAGACCGAGCAGCTGGAGGAGCTGCTCCGCGGGGTGGATTCGAGGAAGGCGTGGTTTATCGGACAGACGGGGAGGGGGAGTAGCGAGGAGTTCGGGATGTTGTCGTTGGAGAGTGACGAGAATTTCTGTATGGGAGGGCCGGGGGTGATTTTCAGTCGGGAGACGCTGAAGAGGGTGGCGCCACACGTGGAGGAGTGTCTTGGGAGGTTGTATACGACGCATGAGGATGTCGAGTTGGGGAGGTGTGTGAGGAGGTTCGCCGGGATTTCGTGCACGTGGTCCTACGAGGCGAGTGACTGCGATTGTAAGGCAAGAGGTGGTGCGGTGCGGGGTGAGGGGTGAAATTTTCAAAAATTCAAAAAAATTTAGGAGTAATCTCGGATGAATCACTCTGTATTATAACTTAAAACAAGTTAAAAAAATTAAAAAAAAAACAAAAGATTCTTCAAAATATTCAAAAAACTTGTTTTTTGGAAATGTCATTTGGGTTATACTAGCAAATAAAAACAAAAAATTAAAAATCTTCGAAAACAATCGATTAAATCACTTTGTATGTATATATTATATTATAAAACAATTAAAAAAAATACATAACAAAGATTCTTTCAAACAAAATAGTCAAAAAAAAATCATTTTTGAATGAAACACCATGTATTTTTTGTTTAATTCTAAAATAAATTTAAATAATTTGCAAATAACAGAATTTC